TCAGTGTTCCAGGATTGCCATAATGCCATGGAAATGTATACATTGCTATTTATGTATGTAAAAGGAAGCATGTGAACTCATAAATATAATATTTAGATGAACCTGGTATATCAAGATACTTTTCGTGAGGACTTTTTTTTAAAGATTGAATGCATTTTGAAACCACGTTACATAAACCGTTATGGAGTAAAGTAGTTTTGCTTCATTTTTTTTTAAAAAAAAATTACAATTATACAAGCAACGAGCATGTTTTATGGAGAGTAAATGACTCTACAGTATAAAGGTTAAAGCTGATTTAAAGGTTGTAAATATAGCTTTAATGTTTTTTGTGTGGCTTCTGAACTCTAAATATATGATGGCCGATTATGACATTTCTGGCAGTAATGTGATCACAATAGCATCTACCTGAGGAATTAATTCATGTCTGTAATTTAAGAAAGGTCAGGTTTAAGTCAAGACCATCTGCAGCTTCGTGAACAGCAGGTTTCATTTCATTTTTTTTTTTTAAAAAAAAAAAGCAGCGTAATTGTCTTTTTCACCAAGGAAAAGAGTCCCTTAATTTTGTAAGGTAGAATTAATCATTTGTTTCTGAGTAAATGGCACGCAGCTGCTAACATATTCCTTAATGCCCTTAAATGTATGTGACAAAAGACTCCATTTTTCAATGGGAAGATACTAAGGAAATTATGAATTCAAAAAACAATATGCCATTTCATATTATGTATAAAAACAAGGAAACTAAGTGAAGTGTCATGACAAATGACAAATGCCATTGCAGAAAATTACACTTCTAATTATAATCATTCATGCTCTTGGTTTCAATAATCATGTTAGGTGCAGCTATATTTATAGACAGAAGGCAGATACAATTAGGGCCTTCTAAATATTATAGGTTTTTCCATCAATTGGAACTTCATGGCAACTTCCTGAAGTCAAAGAGAAGCAGAGAAAGCTGGAGGACCTCAGCGACTGGCACCAAAGTCCACAGGATATTGAATGCATGGGTAGTATTATAATACATGTAGGAAAGAAGTGGATCATACAGGTAGCCATTGAATTAGAACTCCAATTAGAACATTAACTCCATTGTTAAGCAAGACAGTTGTTAAGTGTTAATTTTATGGCTTTTGCCACAGTTATTATTAGCAAATCATTGTAGTTATTAAGTGAATCATGCAATTATTAAGTGAATCCAACTTTAACATTGCTGGTTGGACACCAGCTGGGAAAATTGCAAACGGCAATCACATGATCCTGGGACACTGCAAGAGCATCAACAGACACCAATTGCCAAGCGCCCAAATTTTGATCATATGACATGGGGATGCCGCGATGGTTGCAGCATGAGGACCAGTCGTAAGTCACTCTTTCACTGCCACTGTAACTTTGAACAGTTGCTGAACAAATAGTTGTAAGTTGAGAACTTTCTGTTCATTGCCTTGCAGCACTATAATGCGTCTTTAGTCAGACTGATCCCCTTGTTGTCACCCTTGTGGATGATGCTGGAGATAGAACTGCAATCCAGCCCCGTTCCCTAGAAATAAGAACATCAAATGTGCCCTTTTTCAGGACAAATACCAATATAATTGCATACTTCACAGTTTGTTGCAGTAAGGTGCTTTCATAGTGTTCCTCAACCTCAACACTTTAAGATGTGTGGACTTCAATTCCCAGAGTTCCCCAGCTAACACCTTAAAGTTGCTGAGGTTGAGAAATGCTGCTATTGTGTGTGCAAAATGTGCAAACATAACACCTGGCACCAGTTCTAAGCAGCCATGTCCTTTTCCAAGATCATATGGCAGCTACTGGGTATATCCTGCCAGGTGAACCCAAGAAATGATACTTTAAAGATGCAATTGCTTTAAGGGGTTAAAGGTACATGCTACATTTGCATCCCCATGGAATCAAAACTTTTTTTTCCCCATAATTAATTCCAAAGCACTGCACAGTTTTGCCATTTAAGCCAATGTCTTATGTTACATAGCAGCTGACCAAATGAAATGTAGAATTTTAAAACAGGAAAAAAGTAAAGGGTTTTTGTTCTTTGCGTTATTTTATATACTTCTATCACATCCATCTTGCTACTTCTTTAAAAAGCCATAAACAATGGACCTTTTCCTCTTATGGGAACTCCTCCAGTCTCCAAGAATTATAGCTATTGTTCCATACATTTCCCTATATTGGACATGTCATTATCAATTATTTTGCCTAACGATTTCTAGCATGAAAATTGCCCCCCTTTTCCCCCTTGTACTGCAATTGGTTGTTTTTAATGAGCTTTTCAGAATCCCTTTCCTGGTTTGTGAATGATGATTAGTGTGTGTGTGGATTTCACATGTTGCTTTGTTATCTTCTGAATCCAACCTAAATCCAGCAGAGGGAAATAAATGCTTTCTAGGCAAAGCAGGCTTCCACAAAGCAGGCAGCTGATGCGGCCTTCAGTCAGATGCAGCTTTTGAATCTGATGACGCTGTGCATTCAGACTGGGATTATTAGTTGCCTTTGAAAAGAGGAGGACGGGGACAATTTACACCTAGGTGCTGCTCTCAGCTTATTATGTCACTTCATTATGAATTATTTGGTAACTTCATTATGTCGCTTCAGAATCCAAATCTTCCCCTTTGATCATCATTCTGAGGGGGGAAGGGGCTTTATGCCATCCCTTCCTGTACCAGAAACTACAATGAATATATTTTCTGCCTTAAGTCAAGAAGTGTCCCTCCCCCCTGCTCTGAGTATGTTAAATCTTGCCACCTACTGTACTGTCTTGGGAGTCCTCTGGTCCGAAGGGAGACAAGCAGTATATACATTTAGCAATAAAATAAATGTAAATCGTTTACATTTTTTATCCCTTTATTACTTTTACTCAAGGCAGCGAACTTATCTAATACTGCTTACTGCTCCAATTTTCCCCACAACAACAACAACAACCCGCAATATTTAATTTTCTGACCCTGTTGCCTTTCTCCAGGCCTTTGGCAGCTTTACTGCTGCTAAGAACTTACATATTGGGGTCCTGGGAATGACTAAGCTGTCGGATGCTGGCTAGAAAACTAAATGATGATGTGACGAAGTGTTATAAGAGGAACCGGACACTCTCCATATTATGCTGCCTCTACAAACTGCACCCTAAACCTTCTATCTCAACCTTCGTCATGTAAACAAAAGTGTTTTGCTAAATCATTTCTTTCAGAGCAAAGCAATATATAGAGCCTCAGTGCTTCAGAAAACTTAGTGTAAAACATTTCCTGAACCTGTAAAATAAGATAAAGCAAGACGTTTATTAAAATATAATACTCATATCTATTTTTCTATCAAAACATAACTGAATGCTGCAATTTACAGTATGCATCCAGGTATGTCTGGATGTGCTTTATACTATACATAAAATTATCTAAGAACAATGGACATTTGCATAGCATATACATTATCATTTTTGTAAACACACCTGAAAGATTAGAGATGAAATATTGTGTAAAGTGGTTTATATTTATTCCTGTATGACTACTGTCTTATATTACTCAAGCCAATAGCAAGTTGCAAGCCCCGGTCACTGCAAGTCTTTCTGTAGGCATTTTGCAAGCAGACCAGCCAGGTGAGTGCTATAGAGTGCAGTGGGTGGGGGATGGGTGGTATGGCTAGGTGCAAATGTAGGAAGGCTGATGGGGTGGGTGCTACAGTGCAGTATAAATAGGGGGTGTTGCAACACAGTACAAATGCAGGCAGGTGGTCGCAGCATGGTGCGGGTACAGGGGTTGCTGTAGCTCAAGTGTAGACTCAGGACGAATGCTGCAACATGGCACAAGAGCTGCATGGCATAAGTGGGGACGGACCATGGATGTGGTCTCATCTGCTACCCAAAGGTTCCTTGGGAGAAAAATCAATAGTGGGAGCATCTTACTGGAGCAATTTAAGGCCTCCTACTGGCTTCCCCATTGATTTCGCTCATGGGAACCATCAGGGCAGAGAAGGTTGCAAATGACGATCCCATGGACCATGGGACACTGCAACCATTGTTAAGTGTGACCCAGTTACCTAGCACCTGGATCACAATCATGTCATTGTGGGGATACTGCAGTGGCTGCAAGTTCAAGACTCCCTGATTTAGACCATTGCAACTTTTAACAGGGTTTTTTGCACCTTGGCGTATAGTTATGCCAGCCACATGACCACAAAAGCATCTTTGGACAATGCTGGCTCCCTCGGCTAAGAAATGGAAATGAGCGCCTCCCTAAAGTCAGACACAACTAACTTGTCAGGGAAAACCTTTACCTTTTTTAAAAAAAACAACACAATTTTCAACAGTCGCTGAACAAGTGGCCGTAACCCAAGGACTACCTATAAAATACTTAATCATGCCTGTCAATTTTGTCTACCGTATCAAATGATTTCCGATATTTTATAGTGGATATTATACAGATTTGTGAATAAAGTATGGTTTGCTTATGACTGTGATCATTTTGAAGGATAAATTTATGGGACCTTCATTACATAAGCCATTTTACATTTAATAATTTAATTTTAAACTTTTTAAATATCATTTCTATTTGCATGTACACTGAGAGCTTATGCACCAGAGACAAATTTCTTGTGTGTCCAATCACACTTGACCAATAAACTATTCTATTCTATTCTATTCTATTCTATTCTATTCTATTCTATTCTATTCTATTCTATTCTATTCTATTCTAGTCCAGTCCACTAAACTCCACTCTGCACTGCACTGCACTCTCTCTCCCATTCCCATTCTATTGTTTCCTTTTTTTGATGGCAGATAGTATATTTCAAAGCAAAATCAAATTTATATTTAATTGTAGTTTTAGGGCACTGATATCATAGCAATAGTAACAACTGATCCAAATAAATATCTTGATGCATGAGGAACCTAAAAAGTCGATACTAACAGAAAACTGACACTATGAGTTTTAAATAACAATGTGTTTAAAATATTTCATTTTTCCATCATCCCCCCACTTTGAGCATAGATACACGCTATCAAATAGCATTGGTAACATAAACTTTATTAAAGTTTACTAGATTGAAGTAATATAGTCCTGTTCACACCATGTAAAATCAATTATGACGTCCAACGCCACCAAGCCACCTTCATCCTGTCCCACACAGCAGTCAAGGAATCAAAAGCAGGACGAACATCCAAAATGGTAAACTGATAGTTGTTATCTACTTTTCCTCCATCGTAATAATCAATGACATATCGGACTTGTGTTCCACAGCGGTCAACAATCCAATCGTGTCTGTCAAAAGGCAGTTCATAGCTGGAAGGAAAAACAAATTGTAATTATGTTCTCTCTATATATATAAAATATGTAAGTCACATTTGCAATTCTAATTGTAGAAAGTACCATATTACCAATACTCAGCCTTCTGCTGAAAACAAAAATATATATATCTAATTTTAAAGATTTCTCTCCTTTTAAATAGAAAAAAAAAATCAACATACCCCATCCAGGATCGTATTCTAGCTCTTGGAGAATATTCCTTAGCTTTACCTCCAAATTGAACAAGTGTTGGCCCACATGGACAGTCCCTGAAAAATAATTTTAGAAATATGTAATAAAAAGCAATGCAGAAAAACAAATTGAACACATCCAACTAGGGCACAAATTTCAGCCCTACACAGCCATAACAAGGGTTTAAAAAACATAAAAGCTCCCAGTTCAGAGAATAAAATATTGTGTCTTACAAAATGTTCATAAGAAATATCAATTAAAAGCAATCCTCTAGAGCAGTGATGGCGAACCTTTTAGAGACCGAGTGCCCAAACTGCAACCCAAAACCCACTTATGCATCGTCGGTGCCGGGTGGGTGTGGCCCATTGGGTGGGTGTGGCTGCGGTGGTAACAGCAGACTGGGTGGGACTAAAAAGTTCAATCAATCAATTCCAACTTTGCAAGATCTTTTTTTTTCCCGCAAGAAGTTTGATTGAACTTTTTTTTTTTGTACACATCGGCGGAGGCCTAAAGCAAAAAGGTTTTATAAAACCCAGCTGAAGGCCTAGGACTGGGGCGATGGCACACGTGCCCACAGAGAGGGCTTTGAGTGCCGCCTCTGGCACCCATGCCATAGGTTTGCCACCACTGCTCTAGAATTAATATTTATTATTATAATTCTATAATATACAGTACATTCAGAAAGTATTCAGACCCCCTTTACTTTTGACAATTTTGTTATGCTGAAGCCTGATTCTACAGTTGCTGACATACATTTTTTTTCTCATTAATCTACACTCAGTACCCCATAATGACAAAGTGAAAACAGAATTTTAGAAACGTCTAAAATGAGCGGTGCCTGGTTTTCTCCAGACATAACTTTTAGAATTGAGGCCAAATAGTTCAATCTTGGTTCCTCATAGTTTGAGTGTCCTTCAGGTGCTTTTTTGCAAACTCCAAGCGGACTTTCATGTGTTTTGCACTGAGGAAAGGCTTCCGTTAGCCACTCTGCCACAAAGCCCAGATGAGTAAAGGGCTGCAGTGATGGTTGTCCTTCTGAAACTCTGTCCCATCTCAACACAGGATCTCTGGAGCTCAGTCAAGAGTGACCATTGGGTTCTTGGTCATCTCTCTTACTCAGGGCCTTCTCCCCCAATTGCTCAGTTTGACCTGCCAACCAGCTCTTGGAAGAGTCCTGGTTGTGCCAAACTTTTTCCATTTGAGAATTATGGAGGCCACTGTGCTTTTAGAAACTTCAGTGCAATAGAAATTCTGCCTTCCCCAGATGTGTGCCTTGCAATAATCCCGGCTCTGAACTCTGCAGGCAGTTCCTTTGACCTCATGGCTTTTGCTCGGCTACAGTATCCATTGTCAGCTGTGGGGCCTTCTATTGAGAGTGTGTGCTTTTCCAAATTATGTCCAATCAATTTAATTTACCACAGGTGGACTCCAATCAAGGTGTAGAAAGGTGTCAGCAACTATCAAGAGAAATGGGAAGCACCAGAGCTAAATTTCAAGTGTTGTTGCAAAGGGTCTGAATAATTATGCCAAAGTGATATTTCAGTTTTTTCTTTTTAATAAATTTACAGACATTTCTAAAATTCTGTTTTCACTTTGTCATTATGGGGTACTGAGTGTAAATCAATGAGAGTAACATGAATTTCAACAATTGTAGAATCAGGCTGCAGCATAACAAAATTGACAAAAGGGGGTCTGAACACTTTCTGAATGCACTGTATATTACATTAATTCTGGGGACTAATATATTAATTCTGTGTAGCTGTGTATGTTAATTTTTTTCACCTTGAGCAAAAAGTTAAAAGCTATTCTGAAGCCAACTAAAAAGTAGCAAAATGTTTAAACGGAATTCACCTAAATCTGGACTCAGAAATAAAACTTGGTTTCCAATAGAGATAAGCTTCCTCTTTCCTAAAAAAGATTTTTCATTTCCCTTTGAAGAGATAAACATAAGACAGTTTAGGAATATATTCAGCTTTAAAACAACTGGGAAAGAAAATTTCAGGTTTGGTGGGGATATTTTAATATAAATCTGATGGAAAATTATTTTTTTGTCATTTTTGTTAATATGAACTTTCTGATTTCCAAAGAGCGTTCTGTTCATTTTTGTTTGTTTAGGAGACAGCAGTCTATGTAATCAATCTCATTTTCTATTTTTTATATTATTTTATTATGTAATATAGTTTTATTTATAGTTATTACATTATAGTAATAACTATATCCATTTTGCAGGAAAAAATAGAAAACAAAAAATATTTTATTACATTTGTTTAAATATTCTGCAGGTTTTTATATAAAGCTCTTGTTAGAATATAAGGACACTGCGGTGAAGAACTAATGTATATTGTGCACCTCTCAACTTACATATGTAGTTAGGCAAGAAATGATTAAAGCCATGCTCCACATATCTTTTGAGGAAAAGTATGCTAAATGATCTAGTGACAGAGTGTAAGAGACATTCAAACAGTCCCTTAAGAATACTGGTAGTCTTGGACTTACAACTCAGTTACTCGTAAGTTGCCAAGCATCTGAATTTTTATCACGTGACTATAGAGATGTTGCAATGGTCGTAAGTGTGAAAAAGTTTTTCAGGGCTGTTGAACAGTTGTAAGTTGAGGACTACCCGTACTTAAAGACAAATTGGGTTCTAGGAAGTTAAACTGAGTCAGTTTGGTGTAGTGGTTAAGGCATTAAGTTAGAAATCAGGACAAGTTCTGCCTTAGGCACAAGGCTGAGCAGACACACTCTGTCCTAAGAAACAACCCTAAGTGGCAAACTGCTTCTGAAATTCTGCAAATAAAATTGCAAGAACTAGTCCAGACAGTCACCAAGAGTCAACACTGACTCAAAGGCATAAAACAAAAAAAATAATTAAAGGATAGCTATTGACAATTGAAAGGTGAAAAAAATAGCATTCCTCGAATGTTCCAGAAAGGATTTCTATCAGTTTCCCACTTCTACTATACTTTCAGAACACATTCAGACATGCAAATCAGAAAGCATTATAATTTAAAATTGTATACTGTATATACTTGCCTAAGATGAAGTAATTCCCATTTTAAAATTTCTTTCCAAGTCTGTTCGTTGTTCCGATTATGAATTTTGATAATATTAGACATATCTTCTGGGGACATGTCATCATCTTTCCACCTCCAGCTAAAAAAAAAGGCAATACTGAAAAAGTTAGCAAGATGAAGAGGTGAGCTGTTTATGTGGTATTTCCTAGCACAATGTAACATTTAAGAGGTTGGGGTGCACTAGAAAGATCCAGGTTCATATCTTCATTTGACCACTGAGTTTGATGAGTGACTTTGGGCCAGTTCACTGCTTCTCAGTCCTATTATTTCCTAGAACTGCGATTGTATAGAGGTGGTATTACATAACCTTCCACTCCCTAAAAAAAGGAAGTAAATGCAATGTAACAAGTATCTCAGTCTCCTCCTCCTTCTCCTTCTTTCACTCTAATTGGGAAAAAAATATGTGCTGACCTTAAACATTGAATCAAGATTAACTTCTCTTTACCCTACTTTTACTAAACAAACAATGATTGTGAACTTACAAAGTACAAAGTTCATAAATTACATAACATAAAGAAACTACTAAAGAAGATTTTGAGCCAGTTTGGTATGCCAGTTAAGGCATCAGGCTGTGAGTTCTAGTCCTTGCTCAGGCACGAAGCCAGCTGGGTGACCTTGAGTAAATGCATCTCTCTTAGCCCTAGGAAAGGCAATGGCAGATCACTTCAGAAATCTTGCCGAGAAAACTGCAAGGGCCCATCCAGACAGACACCAAGAGTCAACACTGGCTCGAAGGCGTGCACACATGCACGCACACACACTCACATTTTAAAAAAGATTTGGTTTTTTTTAACTCTTAATAAATGTAAACAACAAAGCCAATTAACATTTACCTTGCAAATCTGCCCCAAATTCCAGAGAGGTTGGGGCATGAATAGGAAGAAAAAGAAAAAGAAAATCCAATGCTGCTACATTATTACAACACTAACATAACAATTATTATCTATATAAAATTACTACAACTCAGTTTTTAAACAAGTTAAATCTTGATCACTTAGAATCAAATTGTCAGCAATAAAGAGCTAGTTCAAAAGCTAAGATTTGATGAATTTGGTTGGTAAAACTTTCGTTTTTGGTACTCAAGCTTGCTTTCAATTAATATTTTTGGTAACTGTTCAAGTATAAATTCATAAATGGAGACGCTCAAGATTTTTGGAATTTAACAACACATTAACAACATAATCGTATGATCTCAATTCCCTGGTGCTCCATAATAACATTCAACCAATAAACAGCTACAAATGAACATTAATGAAGCAGGTGTACTAGTGTACTTTCAAAACTATTGCATCTCCAACTTAAGATAAATGACAACCAATTTTTCTGACCAACTTCTGGAAAGTCCAATTAACCTGAAGAAATCTTATGTATTCCAAAATTCCTGTATATTGTCCAAATTATATTTTTATATAATTTTTAATTGATAATAATGAATTGTGGGCTTAACCTCCAGAAATCTTCTCTAATAATCTGCAGAAATTTGGAAGCAACCAAAGAATCTGGACGAAGCAAGGAATGCAAAAATTACTTTAACTGAATATATTTCAAAAAATGTTAAAGTATAAATAATAGACTCATAGTAATTATGTCATTTCTACTCATATTTTACAAAAAAATTGCCTTTCTTACCATTTTTAGATAGAGGTCTTTCCGAAAAAAATCATTTTTTGTGAGAACTTAAGTCAAATGTTACAATAGGAAGGTCTGAGAAACATGTTCTTTGGTTCTATACATATCATAATTCTGTAAAACTAATATAAAACCACATTTATAATTTTCTTACCCTTTCCTAAGCATTGCATTCCAAAACATCTGTTCTGAGGGATAAACCCATTTTTTTTCTGAATAAGCTCTAGGAATAGTTGACTCTTCTCTTACTGTAGATAATGAAAAAGGTTGCCCAAGGGATGGTTGTTGATTAGGAGGTGGCATCTAAATAAAATATTAAAAACAGAAAGTTAGAGAAGCAAATATATTCCATTTATCAACTTGCTTCATTGTCTTTCAATTCAGGACAAATAAGTTTAATTCTGATACAGTGCTTTGACTACAGGCCAAATACTCTGAATGGACCAACATGTTAGTCCTTTAGTACTCCATTCAGATTTTACTTAACTCTGAGATTGCCTAATTTTATGCAACAGCAGTTTTTCAACTACTTCCTTTCTGTATTTGTAGATAAGAATTTCTGAGAATCCAATACCAATTCTTAACAATTCTATGTATGCCCTTCTTTTTAACTGAGATGTTTTCTGGAACTATTACATATCTTACAGATTAGCAAGAAATATAAACAATCGGGAACAGTGGGGATGAAAACTGAAATTAAACATAACTAAAATTTAATTGGGAATAGAAAAAATGGTGTAATGAACTGGTTGAAAGCTTTTAATATATGGAAGCTACATTCCTATATATTTGTTATATGTTATTAAATATAATGAGAGTACCTCTGATGCCAGAATGTTAAAACAGCTATGACTTAGTTTAAAAAAGGTGCTGAAAACTGCACTTTCACCTTGAGAGGAATAATTTCTCATATTAAAAATTATAATTTGATGGCAAATGTTGAAGGGATGATAAGGTTGCATTTAAGGTTTTTGCAGGTTGTTTGCAACACTAGAATTTCATGTTATAAGCCTCTCAAGTTAAACTAATAACATTTCATGAATCTCTGAGTTCACCTAGCCAAATCATTAAAATACCAGCCAAATTCTTATTCAAAAATGAATACAGGCCTGTCACAAATGTCTTATTTGCAGAATCGTAATAAATTGAAAAATAGTTTTTCCAAAATTATGCTAGCTGAGTTTCAAAAAAGGCAGCTATAAAGAAAGAAATATATCAGGATCATTTCTAAGGGCAGCCAGGTGCAATAATGTTTTCCGCTGTAAAATTTAGTGTTCATCTTCACTATTGATTAAATAGTTTAATATATTCTCAGTTCAACTGTGACAAATGAAACAATTAAGATTTTTAAGAACTTGTTTTGAAAGCAGAAACAGAGTAATAGCAAAATCACACCTAATCTTTCAAAAGTGTAAAACAACCCTTTTGTAATAGCGGTGCATTCAAGGAACAAGACTGAAATTACCATATTCCTAGGATCAATCTTTTCTTCTGTATTAGATTTAACAGGGCATTGTACATATTCATATGCTCTTTCTTGATGTGTAGGAACAGGTGGGTTCTGCTTCTCACTGGAACTGTCATCAGATTTTGCTGGACAGGCTGTAATAGAAAAAAAGTATTAAAATGCCAACTGTTAATCTACATACTAGGAGTAAAAACTAAATTCTGTCATGCAACCTGTAGCCTCTATTTCAGAAGGATTTTAAAGATAAAAAAAGATTAGCAGGACCTATAGTACCCATTTTACTCTTTAATGTTCTTCCAAACCTTTAGAAACAAGCCAGAAATTTTTACCTCTGAGCTATATGACTTCAATGGCCAAGTTTAGCTTTCCTCTAATCAGGGGTGTCAAACTGCCGGCCCGCAGGCCACCAAAACCACACCCACCCCATTGCCGGCAGTGGGGAAAAAAACTCGCGATCCGTCGCGACACGTCACATGACGTTGCGAGTTTGACACCCGCGCTCTAAATGAAGGAGAGATAAAAACATACCATGCAGCAATTCCAACCCTTTTCTACAACTAAATGGATAGAAAATGTAGTTTTTCACGTTCATCAGCCAGTAGCTAAATACTTATAATGAAAATGTGGATACTATTCCTGTTCTTTAAAAATATACTTATTCCTGAAAAAATGCCTGGTTATTTTAATGAGAGTGAACAGTCACCTTCCGTGTTCTTCTGATGCATGGGACATTGTGAGACTTCACTTTGAGGCTGCTCTGATACAGTTGTCTGAATTGTAGTTAATGGAGAGGATGCAGATAAACCCATGGCAATCTTGACTTTCTGCTTTTCTTTAAATTACTGGATAGATCATCTGAAATTCAAATCAATATAATTTACAGACAACAACAAAACACTTACAGACAAATAATATGCCTAACAGAAGAAATATAAAAACACTGTATCAACTGTAAAACAGATACTAAAATACTAGAATATTCTAAACTATTTACATCATAAGAAAATATATTAATGATTCCCAATATTTTCATTTGTTCTTTAAATTTCCCATTTCTTTCTTTTTCAGGATCCAATCCATTCCATTTAACCACTTTTTTGATCTTCCTCTTCTGCTGAGTCCATTCATCCTTCCTCCACACATTTCTTTCACAATTTATCTTCAATCATTCTCTCTGTATGACCAAACAACTTCAATGCATTTATTTTGTTCTTGTCACTCTTGTTTATACAGTTGGTACTCAGTTATCATCCATTTAATATTTTACTACATACATTTAAGTAGTTTCCACTACTTTAAATTTACTTTTATATTTTCCTTACCCAGTCAATTCTCACATTCAAACAATGAAATAAACAAAAACATACTCATTTATTTAAAGGATCTCAAATATGGTTTAAGTAAACAGTTTTGCAAAAGACATAAACAGCTGGGCAGAACCCTAAAATGGCAGTTGGCCGTTTTAGCTTCTTTCAACAAACTTTCAATCCTTAGAACAGATACGTATAGTTATCTTTCTACAGGCATCAAATCTATCAAAATAAATGCCCTTTCAAAGGCAATTAGGTTAATGGTCATCCCTACATGTTGTAATTAGTTTTATAATTCTATTCTACAACTATGCACTAAATGAAGAATAAGCTTCCTTTTACGCATTGTGTAGGTTCCAAAACTTAATTTCATTGGATGATCACAGATGCAGTCCAGTTTCTTCACACAGTGCACATTAATATTAGCCATCGTAAACATATTTCCCTAAATTAATTAATTTAAAAAATCCCAAATGCTACAATATTTCCTAAGCATTACTTTATCCTATATCCATAATTATTTGCATGAGGACTTTTAAAAATGTATTAAGGGCTACATATGGGCAAAGAAGGGGGGAAAGAGGTTGTAAACAAAACAGAAAATAGGTATGTCCAGAATAAAAACTCTGCATAATTTCATTCATTTTTTTTAACCTAAATTGATTTAAGCTACATCATTTCACACTTTATCAAGTTCCAAAAATACTAAGTTTAATTGTTAACTATTGGGTGCAATTGGGAATGCAGCAGTGGTGGGATTCAAATATGGGAACAACTGGTTCTCTGTGCAGATGCCGCTTCCGGAAGTATGTTCTGGGCCTGGGCAACAAAAAATTAGCTACCGGTTCTGCCAAACTGGTGCGAACTGGCTGAATCCCACCACTTGGAATGCAGGCTAGATTGAGTTCCGTCTTCTAATTACTCTTTTTTGGTACTTCTTCCAACTCTATAATCAGTACATTGTGTACAAAATGGGCCACATTCAGAATGTTATGACAAACTTATGATAGTACTTTTTAAATCCTTTAAATCTTTTTCCTAACCAAACTATGCCAATGCATTAATCAAGCTATCTATGACCTAAGATCCCTTTTCTAGTCAATGGTTAGCTCAGACCCCACTGATCACACTTTACATATTTTGTTTTCAGATACTATTCTCAGGATGTACTCCTGGGAAAGGGAAATTATTCGTTACTTTGCTGAATAATTATTTTTATTAATTTTCCCATACAGGACAGATGTATTTTTTTTTATCAAGGCATTTATCTTCATTTTAGGAAGGCTCTCAGATCATTAGCAATTGCCTTTTTGATGAATTGGTACTCTGTTTAAAAGCTTTTTTAATAAGCTGAGTTAATGGCTATACAATTTAGTCACAGTTTCTACTATTTTTCCGGAATCTCGTAATTGTTTTAATGTATTATACTTAACCAGAAAATATATACAAAATGTTCCATACATGAACCACACCATCCATTAAGTAGATAGGCTTGCTGCTCTATGTACAAACAGAAACATGTACGTTTTGGTTGTTTTAATCCATATACAGTATTAAAGTGTTATAAGGATCAAAATACAGTTATTCCAGGCAGAAATGGGAAGGGTATAGTGAAAAAAGGCAAGATTATGGATTTCTTTGGAAATGAAAAGTGTGGGGGTGGAAACAACAGATCAGGGAGAAAAAGGAGGGAGAAAAAGAAGATACTGTGAAGTTCAGGGAGCTGGCATCCCGGTAGGATGTCATGCTAGAACAGTGGTGGCGAACCTATGGCACGCGTGCCAGAGGTGGCACTCGAAGCCCTCTCTGTGGGCACACGTGCCGTTGCCCCAGCCTCGCTTCCCCCCACGACCCCCTCACCAGCAGCCCCCCTGGAGAGTCGCCCCCGAGCGTGGCCCACACGGAGCAGGGCAGCCAAGGACATGGCAGCCAGGCAGTGTAGACAAGACTCTGCCCTCACGCCCCATCCTGCACAGTTGATGCTGCGGGGTGCGGGCAGAGGGCGTGGCCGCCATGGCGCTGCTGGGCTGCCTGGACGATCTGCGGCAGGCCCTGGAGGCAATGAGTGGCCCTGCGGGCAGGCGGGGTAGGGGACAGGGGAGGGGCGGGGCAGGGAAGGGGCAGGGGTGGAGTGGGGGCAGGGCCAGTTTTTGGGCACTCGGTCTCTAAAAGCTTCGTCATCACTATGCTAGAACATTGGCAGCAATAACTGACAGAATGCAAGGAAGGAAAGAAAGGTGTTGGAAGATCAGAGAATAGGTGGTCCTGTGAATTATGCCACCCATAAATATTGGTAACAGTGGAGGGGAGGGAGTAGCAGAACCCTGGAAAAATTGGATAGGACAGGGCTGTGCAGGCCACGAAGAAATGGGGAGACACGTAACACTACTAGCCTTCCATACTCTCTGTATAAAACCACTTTGAGATCCCTCTGAATGCTTCAGCCAAGGTTTTGTTTCTGCCAAACCATGGGCAATGCAAAACTTCAGTTTGACATAAAGCACATTTCCCATTTCATGACTACCCCATTAGCTACCATGGATTTTCCCAAGGGGGGGGAAATGGAAAACAAAAGTATTTTAAATCAATTAAAATAGTAGAACTTGTTAGATGTAACTACACATAAGTTTTCAACTAGTACGGTATTAGAAACACAAGCAACACTAGAAAAGTATCAGGAACACTAAGATGTTACTAGAACTGTAACATGAAGCTTCAAGGATTGAACAAATCAGATTTGATCACTTGTTAAATAATTTCCCCAACACAGAATAATGCTTCCATTCCAATTAGGCCACCATCAAAGCTGTCATGAGCCAGAGCACAGAACAACTCAAAGAAGTAGTGCAAGATCGGAAGATGTGGAGACACCTGGCCCATAGAATCGCCAAGAGATGGACACGATTAAATGGATATTGCTAGATGTAAAAAAAAGGTCTTCAAAATTTAATATTGAAAAAGAAATTTAAAATTGTATTTGCTGCAGTGGAAACTTAACTGCCTGGACAAACAAGCTTACCAAAAACTGTAATGGCTGGGAAACAGGAAAGGATAGCATAAAGGCAGGATGTAAGATAAATACATAGGCAAATATTAGCTGGGTCTTAGAGTGGGAAAGGAAGAAGACAAGCTATAAAAATATCTGTAAGAGTTAATGGCTAGCCAGGAAAACTTAACTAAACTGAAAAACAGGAAAGAACCTATTGTTCTAAGGGGCCCAGAACTCAAAACCAACAACTGAATAGGTCTAATATTTTATATTATTAATGTACATGCGATGTATGATTTAGTATGTAGCAGGAAATAGGTAGGAGGCGGTCGGAAAGAGTGTAACCTCATAGTACCTCAGCCAATAGGGAAAGAGGAGGGATGTGGCAGCCGGGACAGGGTTGTATAAAGAAGGGAATATTTTGGGTTGAAACTTTGGAGAGAACCAAGCTTTGATAGCTTCTCTCCCCGCTTATTGCAATAAACAAAACAAAAGGCCTTCACTGTGTCTTGGCTGGTTATTGGTCAGGCGAGCTTGCCTCTGGTCAGGAAGGAAAGTAGCCAGGAACACATAATAGATATCATCATTATTATCCAATTAGGCATTTTGATACATGTGAAAGATGAGGTCCAAATCTGGACAATCTTAGGCAATCAATTTCGTGCCGCCGGCCTGGTGTAGTTTTAATTAGGTTTTAGTATAGGTTTTTATATGGGGTATTTTAGAGCAGGCCTTTATTTATTTAATTTGATTTTAGAATAGATATTTATTGTGATTTTTATTATCGCCTGTTCACCGCCCTGAGTCCCGTAAGGGAGATAGGGCGGTATACAAATCTAAATAAACATAAACAACTATTCACCAGGATAGTGTGAATTTTGTGATAGTATTCACAAAATGAAGGCAGTAGATGCACTTACGAGAAATAAAATGTGGAAATTAAAACGAGGAAGAAACCAGATTTTTTTGGGGGGAAGGGGTCTATATCTGCATCAAAAAAATAGTTACATCAAGACTGTAATAGAATTTTGAACTAATCCCGTTATAGACATTTTAACCCACATATAAAAAACACACAAAACCCTCACCCTCTCATTTGACAACACCACCATAAGCAGCACCTTCAAAGGCTTGGATATTCAGCTTATATTTGTGTAGCAAGAAAGAAAATTATTTGATTTTTTTGCCCGAGCTGGGTCGACCCAAGGTCACCTTGTTAAATAGGCCGATTTCTAGCCTGACATGAACCTTTAATAGTTCACACGACACGTATCAATTCGACACAGGAACCCACACGACCACCAGCTTCCGCCCCAAAACCACGTTTTTCTAGCAAGTTAGATAATTGAGTCCCTTTTATTTCCCTCCCTCCTATCAAGAGTTTTCGGCTCCATTCCCCCTCAGTCCCCATGGCGGAGGGGCGTCCACCAGCTCCAGGTCCTGGACCCGGGGTTGCGGGGCGGAAGGGAGAATTGAAGCCGAGGTGTACCCCGAATGACAGCTCTATCGTCGTTTATATCTCTCGTGCTTTCCTTGACATCACCGCCCTCCCCTCCCATCTATTAACAGAGGAAAACCTCACACACACACACACACACACACCCCAACTTGGCTAAAGAAACCACTAAAGAGGCGACTGCACGCGCTTTCTAACGCGCTCGCTCTCCGCTACACGCGGGGAGTGTGGGGGGGGGGGGAAAGAGGCGCGTTAATTACCTCAAGTCTAACCTCCGGAGCCCGATTTCCCCGAGAAACTCACCTCGCGCCTCTCGCGAGAAGGGCCGTTCCGCGATCAGGCGGAGCTTTAAAAAACAAACGGGGAATTCGACTCAAGGGGCGGGGGCGGGGGTGGAGAAAGCCGCTGTTGGGCGGGTTTTGGAAGAGCGAATTAGAAGGGAGGGGTGGGGTAGAGAACCTGTCGTTTGTTACCACGGTAACCGTAGAACGTGCTTGCTTAGGCCGCTAAGTCGCGCCTGCGCAAAGAGGTCGTTTCGGCTGTAAAGATGTTTTCGTGTCCGTTTCCACTTTTACTCTAGAGAGGGGAAAGGGCTTAATTGGTGCTCAGCTGTATACGTGACGTTCTGAAGGGGAAAAAAAATAACCGAGCCTTTCGCTTTGTCTGCTTTTGGGGCGCTTTCCACAAAATGTCTCTCCCTCGGGCTGAAAATCCTGCTTGGATTTCAGCAGGAGGATTTTCAGCTCCTGAGTAGAGCCTCCCAAGGTCTCCTCCTCTCCCCGCAAGGTATCCCTTGCTCCTTACCATCTGCTAAAACGGGTAGGCAACCTTGGCTCTTTTATGACTCGTGGACTTCAACTCCCAGAATTCCTGAGCCAGCATGGCTGGCTCAGGAATTCTGGGAGTTGAAGTCCACGAGTCATAAAAGAGCCAAGGTTGCCTACCCCTGAAACGAACTGCATGATCGCTTAATGACCACAAGCAGGAGTGCTTTGATTGCAGTCATTGAGCAAAGCAGTCACATGAGCAACCATGATATCTCGCTTAACTACTGCTTTACTCAATGACCAAGATTCTTGTCCCAATTGTGACAGTTAAGCAAGGACTATCTATAATTGGAACAGCTTACATCCTGGAACAATATCTTTAATATTATTAAACAACACCATCTGCTTATCCCAGGTCTTTGGGAAGGAGCCAATAAGTAGATAAAAATAACAAATCCAATCTAAACATCTGGCTGACTGTACCAACCACCCATAACAACGTTTCACAACTCTGCTGAATCTCAAAAATGCAAAATCAATAACCTTTCTTCCGTAACGTTTCTTGTTTTTATTTCTTTTATGTTCTTATTTTAGTCCTGGTTGCCAATGATACCTTTTTCTTATTATTTTAATTGCTTCCATTTATGTCTTTTAATTGGCTACTATCATATTTGCTGTAGACTGAACCTTTCAGTTTGAGGGTAGAATGAAAATGTTTCAATTAATTAAAATGTAAAAAAAAGTACAGCTGCTACAGAGGTAATTGCTTTTCCAGGTACAATTTGAATATAGAATGTCTGAGTTCATCATCAAAATGAATTAAGTTAGAAAGTTACTAACTACCAAAACTTGGAAAGTACCATGTACTTATGAATTCAGTTTTCAGCACAATAGATAAAATGCCACATTTTTTAATGGAGGAGTTAGCATCCACATTTTCTTCATTTTTTTATTTCCAAGAGTATTCTAGTATCATGCACAAGTTATTTCCAACTTTACTCTAAAACTAGTCTTGATCCAAAGCCAAACTTCCTGGGATTAGAGAGGACTGTGCTGTAAACACACCTGAAAGGTGCAAAGTTCAAGAAAATTGCCTTATGTTTGATGTTGAAAAATCCCCACAAACATGTTACCTATATATTATTTAAACTATAAATATAAGGCCTTCAAATAGATTTCAGGTTTACAATACTTTTTTACCTTCTGGGTAGATTTCCTTGTTATCTTACTGACGACACTATTTCCAAAGCAATGTTTAATTTTTTTATTATCACTAGATATGTTTAGATATTTTTGAAATATATATTACAAATATTTGTCCTTAAGAATTTTTTCAATTGGAGAGAATACATAAACATACATGAGGTGACTGATTTATTTAATCTGAAACTTATCTTATTCTGTATAGTTTTATTTTAAATCAAAAGGGCATGCCAGTAACATACCTTAACTTTCAAACATAACAAGTTACAGTTAGTATATCAACTTAAAACATAACATGGTTTATTTTCAGTTCAGCATTTTGCATGAATCAATCATGGTTTATAGCTTAACATGTTGTTTAAACCCAGCCAACTAAGGCTTGCCCCACAAACTTTTATTAAGCAAATTTCATTAAGTGTCCTATGCAAACCAATTCACACAATACTTTAGATTACTTTCATTTTCCATAATAAAAGTGCCAGTTCAAATGAAGCAGATAGTAGAGGAAAAACTGGTGGCAAGGAAACATCTGGTTCCCATTGTCCATACGTTCCTGTTATTTTCAAAATGCCTTTAGTCCAGCAGTTTCATAGGTGATTTCACCAGGCCAGGTTTGAGTTTATATAAGCATATATAATGTTATACAATTTGGGCTTAAGACAGTATTAAAATATTCCCCAATTTCCACTGCAAACCATCTGGTTCTTAGTTCAACTAGCATATAGAACACAGGTGTCAATCTCGCCGTGTCATGTGACGTGTCGCGACATATCGTGACCTTTTTCGCATTGGCGGAGCTGGGGTGGGCGCGGCCTCCACATAATGCAATTGGCCCACGGGCCGGCAGTTTGACACCCCTGATATAGAATATGTTGCTGTCAATGTGGCAACACAAGATTTAATTTGTTAACATTACAATGTTTTAGTTGCATTATAATTCTAGGTATTTCAGAAGTTTTGCAAAATATTTTTTTTAGAAATGATGGGAAAGAGTTTTCTCTCCTGCAAATCTTTTTATCCATAATTAGAAGTATTTGTTATAGGAGCTGGGATACAAGGTTGCATTTTTTTCCTTGGTCCTCTTTGGGTTAGATTCTCACTTTTATCAAGTCAACCAGGAAATATTCAAAACCAATGTTTTTCTTTTACTTGAGATCTCAGCAGGTACATTATCAGAGTTCAATTGTAAATTCAATATTTTAAAAAAGCTTAATGTAAGTTCAGGTTAATTTACATCCGGGATCTATGGAAGTTGTATGTAGCCATTGGGAAAAACAATTTTCCTAAAATATTGGTAGCTTTATGCACACTGGAGAAGAGATGGAAATATTAGCCTGGCAATATGAGTGGATCTCAGTTTTGAAGAAATGGGAAATGAAAGTTCTTAATGACAGAAATGGTTTCTTAAATATTTTAAGCCGAGGTCATATTTTGGTCTTTAAAATCCAAATATGAAAAAATGGCCACATTTTTTCTACTCAGTCATAGCTTTGGGGACAGCTCTCTTTGCAGTCCAGCTTTACAGAGATTTATAGCATCTTCTGTACATTACTGAAAAATGGCAATTGTTTACATGAGATCTTGAATACAGAAATAAGAGTCCTATTAGAAATGAATGCTTAATGTGCACTTTCTAAGATATTTTCCTTGAAATGCTTACATGTGGAAGTGGCTGCTTTCTAGTCAAACATGTTTTTAATCATACTCCACTTATCAATATATTTCAGTATAAAAAGCTTTAATCTTCAATTGATGTCTTTTAATTACATTCAATTTTTATTGCAGCAGAACTGGAATCTGTGGCATCTTAATTTATTTCACTGTAACATTTAATACTGTAAGTAGAATATTTTTAAAATTATGTCCTCAGAAGAAAAAATTGGGTTATCCTGTTCCAGTGCCAATAAACAACTTATTCATTCCAAAGATGCTAAGGAACATCAAATTCTCTTTATCTATCGTATCTTGCATTTAACTGATTAAATATGGTAGACACCATATAAAACACACCATTTTAATAGGGAAAAAATACAAGAAACAGTTGCATTCTTTTCCTTTATTCTAATTAACCAATGCCTTATGTCCACATGCAACTTATTGCTTTAGATATTATTGAATATACTTCTACACAAACATATACAAACAGCAAGACTTTAAAAAGCCAGTGAAGTGCAAACTCAGTTATATACATTTATCATAAACAACATAAAAATATACTCGAACTGGTAGGTAAACCATGTTAATGTTCACCAAGTACTTCATCAGAATTGCCCAATCTCATATGCCATTGTCATTGTGGTGGGTGGCAATCCAATCAGTGTAGCTGCGGTATTTCAGTTTAGCCCAGGAAAATAAGTATCCACTTCATTCCTGTAATTATTTTCAGTAGTATGTTTATTACATTTTGTGCTGTGATTCAATAAAGCTTCCCTATTTGGCTTTTATTGCACTCTACGTCTCCTGGAATTTGTAAATCAGCATTACATCTCATAATGCTTTTTTTAAAAAAATTGCTTTATAAATGAAAATATGTAAGCACCAATACAGAAAGTACAATATAGATATTTCACTTAGTGATTTTGTCACTAAGTTCCCGAATACAATCAGTTACAAATGTCATCTAAAAGAGCAGCAATTATTTTTTATAAAGAGGCAAAACCTACTCCATTATTCATGTGTATTCTACGTTTGTAATAAAAAAATCTAATTTTAAACTGTTACAATTCCATGCTTATTTAGGAATCCACTCAAACTAGTTAGAAGGTCAGAGCCCTTCAGTTGCATCTTCTAGTATATATTTCTAATTAAATACCCTCTTGGGAAGGCCCTGATGCCTCTCAAGACTGCTTTCTTGTTGAGAAATTGCTGTTTTGAAAGCAATTTGTAAGCACAAGTAAGTCCCGGTGTTTTTCCTGCTCTGATGGGGCTATGTGTGATTTCATTGGGAGAATAGCAAAAGGAAAACGTGCACTCTTCAAATATGGATCTGGCCTCCGATTTTTCTCAAAGATAACTAAAAAATCCAAGACATGGAAGCCACAAGGGGGTCTAATCTAAGGAGATCTGTTGTATAAGAGAAAGGAGAATACAATATTGGATAATCAATAGCATATATTGCTAAAGTTTACAAACGTCTGTATTTAAATTTCAGCAATGTAAGGCCACATCAAAAACAATTATAAGATCACAGGCTCAATTTGTACTCTTCATTACTAGACTAAAAAAACCCCGATCCATTTGTACAATGAGATCAGTCCTGCATCATTCATTAGATAAGTCAGCATGATTGTTAAAGGAAAAAAAACAATATTAGTACAGTATTTTGAAATAAATGCTTCATCAATCACAACTTATATTGATGACAGTATATTTTGCTGCTGCTGTATATTCTGGGACTCTAAACGGAGCATCAATGGGATTAACTTTACTAGGGATTTCATTTCAACAAATCAATGAGATTCCATACATTAGCAATAAGTATGATTTTGACATTCCATCTCACCGTTCCCAAAATAGCATGAGATTAATACTTCAACTTCCCATGAGGCGGGGTAGGGGAACCAAGCTAGTACTGGAATACATAGCATGGTACTATGTCTAGATAGAGTATAGGAAGAGGAGGTGGAGGAGGAGATATTTAATCAATTTATATGGCTATCAACCTGCCAAGGAACAGCTAAAAAGGCATGGTTAACTGTAGTCAACAATAACAACAAAACATACAATCCGGCTGGTAAACGATATCATACTATCTCCCAAGGTGGCACATCTAATATCCCAGCCTGAAAACCACTTTTTTAATGCCTTGTGAAAAATTAGCAAAATCAGGGCCCACTGAAGCTCAGGGAAGATCATTCGAGACCCAGGCATTGCCATGGAAGTGGTATGTCTCCTAGGTCCAGTCAAAAGATAGGACCTTGGCAGAAGGCCTGGGATGGAACAATACAACTAGAGACAGGCAGTCCTGCAAGTAATCGGTTCTGTGCCCTGCGGGAATCCATAGATAACCTTCGCCTTCAATGGCACTTCTGTTGATGCAAGTTCAAATCTTTCTGGCAATATGGATAGGAAGGGGCGGGCTGCATGTGTAAATATGTGTGGGCAGAGAAATCTTAAGCCATAATTGACATTTCACTTTTGAAATAGAATCCATTCTAGTTATTTCTGCATGTTTATTAGGTAGCATATTTTCCTTACATTGCACAGAAATGTTGCAGAATAGCATCAGAGTGAATACATGAATTTTATGCAATTTTGATCAGAAGGTTATATGCACAATAACCTTAACATAATTTAAGGAAACTCATGGAAAGAAAATATCCTGTTTCTTTCTTTTCCCAGAAACCCATTTTGTTCTCTATAGAGTTTCAGGATCTGTTCTGAACCTGACAAGAAACTTTCCTTCGCTTACCTTCCTCAAGTTGACGTCTGAGAACTAAATATAATTTCGGACAAATCCTCCCATCCAATCCCACATAGTTCAGGGAAACCTCATGGTTCTCCAAAACAGCTTTTTAGGATACATGAATGATTTCAGAGGAAAAAAGTTATTAGAAATCTTCCCTTTCATAAATTTCCTTAAGTTATGCTAAGATTCAGGTGACTGTCTTCCTTAAAATAGAACTTAGCAACTTTAAGAGTTGTGGACTTCAATTCCCAGAATTCCTCAGCCGGCAAAGCCGGCTGAGGAATTCTGGGAGTTGAAGTCCACAACTCTTAAAGTTGCTAAGGTTGAGGACCCCCGGTTTATGAACTCCATGACAGCTTACAAGGAAGAAACTAACCAAGACAAACTACCCAGTCATGTTGCCTTTTTTAGTTTTCCATAACAAAATTATCCTTGCTAAAATAATAAAACAAATGAGTATATTCATGTTTACTCTTTACTTAAAAATAAAATAAAGGATTGAGAGATCGATTTATAAAACCTGTGTTAAAGTACTATACTTAATCATGGTTAATTTTGTAAAATAGTAGATTAGTTCTGATATTAATCCTATTAGTAATACTGTGATATTATCAATGTTTCCAGTGTTAAAAAGACTTCTGAAATGAGTGGGAGTTGTTGAAAAGGCCGCACTGTACATGCTACAACTTGTAATATGCATGCTAAGCAGTAAATTATATTGGGCTCTCTGAGATTTATTTTAGAGTAAAGGTAATTATATTGCCTATCTCATTCAGCAGTCCAATGGAGCACAAATTTTTAATACTACCTTCTAATGCATTCTTAGCAGATTAAAAAATGTTTAACAATAAGATTGTCTATATAATCAAATAGTATTATCCTGAATCTTTACATAAGTCAATTGATTTCCCTTTGTAATTAGTCTCTCAAAATAGCTGAGGGATTATGCTCCTGCTAATGTAAGTCCCTTTTCATATTTCACCACAAATAAACACATTTGTTTTTCCTCCCTAAAAAAAAGTACAAGTTACCATATCAATTTGTAAGATAATGGCACATTACAAACAAATTATTTCAAAAAGCCAACAACATCAGTTTTTAATGCCTTTTATGACATACATTTTCTCTAGAAAAGAGCTCTGATGTAGTCTAGGGGGGACACAGGATCAGTCATTAAAATTTTAATTCAATTCAAACTTTAAATTGCTTGATAATTTTTTAACATTTGATTTATAGTTATTAGCATACTAATATTTTTTGTTTAAAATCTCACAGTTGAATATGTGAACTGCCACTATTCATACATAACACATGGAATTTCAACCGGATACTGCTGAAAGTTAAGTACTGTAACTCTTGCTGATGAAATATGGAGAGATTTCCCTTCTCACCAGCCATCTAATCGACATCAAAATATGGTTCCTGAGTGTAAACCTGATATGTCACATTTCATTTACTATGTTTGACATGTTTTGAAATATCTGAGGAGTTTAAAATGGGATATGCAAATCAACATTTGCTATTACAGTCATCAACCTATGAATAAGCTTTTGCTGAACAGTTCCCTGTGCTTATATAATATTCTAGAATATCAAGAACATAATTAAGTTGCATTGATGGGAAGAATAAGCAGTTCTCTGCAATCTCCCAATATGCAAATAAACAAATCAACAATAAATTAAGATATGTTATTCAAAACATAGTTAAGTGTTAGATGAGTAAGTAGTGAATATCATTAAAAATACGTTGGATGATGATTTGGTAAATTCAATTTAATATATTACAATATAAAACAAATTTGAGTCCATAATAGTAGAGAGCATATGTGAAGTTACTGTAATGTAAACAATAGATTTTCAACTATTTTGTTTTTCTTACAGATTTTCCCTTCTCGCTTTGTATTTGCAACTATGATTCATGCCATTATTACCTCACAGCTAGACTATTGCAATGTATTTTATGTGGGACTCAACTTGAAAATGATTGGGAAGTTGCAACTGATCCAATCTGCATCAACCTAGCTATTAAAAAGGGAGAAGTGGATTTAGTAGCATAACACCCATACTCTAGTCACTTTGTTGGTTGTCAGTAGGCTTCTGGGCCCAGTTCAAGATACAAACTTTAACCTATATAATGTCTTACACAGTTCAGCACCAGTGCACCTCTCTTGAATAGAATCGGTCATCCTGTAAATACCGTTCGTAGAAAGGTGGCAAAGAATCCCCCAACTGCATGAAGTGAAAGGAGTAGGTACCAGAAGTGTGTATTCTCCCACTCTGTGGAATATCTTGATCCCTGAGATGCAGAGACTATTTGTTGTTGTTTTTTCTTTCCAAAAAATTTAAGACCAATCTGGTCCAAGCATTTTTCGGCGAAGATGGTGAATCTGAACTATTTACTGTAAGGTCCTTTGTAATTAATTTGTGATTGTCTTTTATTCTGACGATACCCAGGTTACTATAAAGCATCTTGAGTTGCTAGAACTAAAACAGTATAGCTGTGACTAAATAAATAAATAAATAAATAAATATTAGTGATGTTTCTGCAAGTAGCCATTGTCAAGAGCTGAAGGATGATTTTTCTCGTTGGAGGAGCACATCTTCCTAAATTGCATTAAAGAAAAATTGAGAAAAGTTAAAATGAACTGATTAGTAACTTTTTCTTACTTATAGAGGCTCTTGTGACAATCCACATGTCCAAAATTCATTAATGCTTTACCCCTCAGGAGTTTTATAGCATAAAAGTTATCTGTTACACGATAAAAGGCTGAAACCAGATCAAAGTTCCAATACTTGTGTCAGGGAAACAGAATACTGGCATGTTTTTAAAAATCCCTCTACTGTTTATCATGCAAAGATGCTGAAATTTGGATATTTAAAAAGTTCAAAACATCTATACTATTTTATATACAGTAAGAAGCAATAAAAATAACTCATTTAAGAAAAAAGATCTTCAGGCTCAAATTTGTATTTGCATGTAAAACTAGTCAATGAATCCCAAAGATCCTATTCATGCATGTAAGGCAGTAGAAAATGGAGTAAAATGTATAGATCTGAAATGAGTAATTTGCAAAGCAGATGAGTCTTCAGATATGAACACCAAATATTAGGAAAGCCAAGAAACATGCCAGAAATGTTGCCATATTAGCAGAACGTAAACAACCTGACATTCACAAGCATTAAAAATGTATCATTTTAAGAAACCTGAGTGAAAATTCACAGGAATATAGTGCTAAAAAGGGTTGATCTTCAGAGATTCAGCTGACTGCTCAATGCTTAGGACACCATGCCAAGGTGAACATATGCAGCATGTTGTTGTTGTTTCTGACACCACGCAATCCAAATCTTCAGAAGAAAATGTTTTGGAGACCCAGGAGTGTGTTATTGGAAATGCTAAATTTAAGAAAGGTATCATTATATTTCCTTAAGAGGAACTTTTTATGGCAAAAGTCTGCATTGTTCTTTTAACGTACCCCAAACTGCTATTAAATGCTCTTCTTCGTGTTGCCATTTTTATGAGCTTTGGCTTCTTCTTGTCCGATGAGACAAATAACCTTGTAACATCCTCGTGTAATTCTGACCATCCACATTAAGTTAATAATATCCAATATGATACTGGAGATAAACCAGGCGCTTTGAGCTGCAAATCCTAATCTGTAGTAGGCTTCTGTTCCAAACTCAGAAGCAACACTGTTGTAATAAATTGGAATGACTATGATCCTCCCTAGGAAGAACATGATGGTCATTAGCAGTCCATTGATGATGTTGGCTTTTGAAGCTTTAGAATACCCCAGTGCTTCAAAGAACCACCTATAAGAGAAAAAAGATTAACAGAAATCAAAATGAGAAAAGTGGTATTTATTTTATCTAGGCAAAGTCTGAGACTACATCTGCATATCTGCTTTGCCTAGAATCATCAATAAATTTTGCTGCCCTAAAATATGGCTGCTGCCACAGTGTCACCCTTACCACTTATTTGGAAGCTACAAAACTGTCTCCACAGATTGTGCAACTTGCTAAGAGGCATGACTGGTGGTTCTTTGGCTGAAATTCCAACCCCATTCAACATCCTGTGAAAAGCCCTTTCCAAATTGTATACATAATGCTTTGATTACTCCAGAATTGCAATCATTTCTTTCTTCTCTCCTGTCATATCATCAACTAATTGAACTATTTTTGTTCTGTTTTATTTTGTTTTAAATCATTGAAACTGTGAATTGACTGATTATAGTGAAAGACTTTGTATCTCTTTGCTTCCATCTAATGATTTTTGTAGTGTACCGATCATCTGGATTTGGACAGCAGTTGGATAGGTGGCAATGAAGACTTGACGTTTGAGAAATGGGTTTAGCTGTGGGGAACTGTAAGCTTCCTAAGAATATTACATGAAGAGAGGTAGTAAAGAGCAAAGCTCTTATGAATTGTAGTAACTGAGAAGAAAATTTCCTGTCAGGTGAGCTACATAAGTATAAAAGATGAGTTCTTTCTATTACACTTCCAATTATCTGTGAGAATACAAGAATAGGTTTGTCAATTTTAGGACTTGAAACTCCATCAATCAATTGACTAATCCAATGGAGGAAGGGTGTGTGTAGAGTGGCTAGAAGCCAGGGTTTCAATTTACCTAACAGCCTGTAAGGTTGCTGGCCCTTACTTAAATTTGAGATACCATTAAAAGTCTAATCAGGCAACTCAAACGGAGGCTTCTTAAAAAAAACAGTGCTTTAATTGATCAAATAAAACAGCTGGGTAGCAAACAATCTGGAACGCTGGCAGAGTTACGTCCAGAAGTGCCACACCTTAGAAAGTTAGCAGCATTGCTTTATAAACTTTGTTAGCCAATGAAAATCAGACAACAGAGCCATTACATCATAAGGAAGACATCAATCATTCCTGTACACTTCCTTATTCCCTCCTTCAGTACATTCCATCCATGTACATGTCTTCCCATGCTTGCATGAAATTTGTCCCTGACACAAACGCTGATTACAAAAGCGAGATAGCAAGTTAGGCTAAACAATTTCTTTTGTTCCAGTTACAGAACCCTTCAAGCCCAAAGACAATTGAGGGGTAGGAGACAGACCTGAGACTGGATAAAAGAGGTTGATCCAACAGAAAACTAGCAGCATCAAATGGAACCCAAGATTGTCAGTGCAGGACATGTTCCCCACATGTATCAATGTACTTGGCACTGCCCACATATGTCTCAAGGATAAAAGAGAAAATAATAAAAACTAGTAGAATAAAGATTCTAAATCTGCATTAGGGCTGCGTCAGCTGCAGAGGAGCTATGCCCTAAAACAGGGATCCCCAACCCTTGGGCGGTAGCCCATTACAGGCTGTGGCCTATTCAGAATTGGGCTGTGTGAGTGGTTGGCCAGAGCATGCACCTGTGCATGCATACTGTAGCTCAACTTAGCAGTGGGCCAGTGGGCATACACGTGAGTGCCAGCCCACTACTCGCACAAAGGCTGTGTGCGCGCATGCCAGCCAGCCACTCGCGCAGCCCAATTCCTGTCTCCCCCACCCCAGCCAGGTCGCCAAACTGCAAAGGTTGGGGATCGCTGTCCTCAAAGTATATTTTTTAGTGGATGATATATTCTACACTTGTTCTTTGTGATAAATGATAATAAACAAGCACAGAAATGAGCAATTAGTTCTAACCAATAGATGGTATGTATAAATCAACAACAGGACAAAAATATTTTATATGCTAAAGAATGCATAGATGTAAAAGTGAGGTCCTGTCTCATTTCTCTCATCTTCCTTTTTGTAAACCAACAAAAGCCAAACTCACAGAATATTTTCTTAAGTTATGGAAATGTGCGCAATAGCTGTTCTCCTCAAGCTAAAGGAAATTTTGAAGAGACATGAGACAAAAATCAATGTTCTGTTCGATCTTGTTATATTTAGCTCTCCTCAAAACTTATCTATTCTAATAAAGTGAGAAATATTCCTTTCCCTGTGTGCTTTTTTTCATATTGTCCCTACTCGAGTATAGTTTCTGCATTCTACAGTTGCATGGATAGAAGTAAAGAAAGGGATAATATAGTTCCTTTTCTCCCTATTGGTCTAGAAATAGGAAGAGAAATAAACTTAAAGCAAGATCTAACGGAACACTGAATTTTGCCTCATGTCTCTTCAACACTTTCCTTACACATTATTAAGGATAATTATATAAAAGCAAATGCATTAGGCCTCTGACAAATTTTAAGGGGGTTTATGTATACAGCATATCATTTATTTTTTCAAAACAAACAGTGAAGCTCCTCTGAAGTGATCTTCTAGTTTAAACTATCCAGATGATTCAAAAAGGAAGGAAAAGAACTTTTGTTTTATTAAGATTGTTGTACCTTGCTTTTTATAACTTTTGTCGTCTAGCTCAGAAGAGTAATTGAATTGCTTATAGATGTCAGGGAAGTTAGCTGAAGAGAACATCTTGAACTATTTTCCTTTTGTTAACGATATAGGCAAGGAATACAAGCTGTTATATAAAGATCTATATTCACAATCTATATTTGTGTGTTAGTAAAGAGATTCTCTTCACGTCAAAGCAGCAAAAACAAATAGCAATAACATAGCTCCTGAAAACAGCTGTAGAAGGAAATTTGAAAGCAATCTGAAGTCAGACTGCACATACTAGTTTTGTGCCTTATGCCATGCTGCAAAAGGAGCATCACAAAGAATTCATTGTTTGCAATGGGCTAAGACCTTCCAACGGCAATAATGAAATGACTTAAGAATCACTTTTTGCATGACAGATGAAGCAAACAAAATAAAAATAACATTTTAATATAGTAATGAGACAAAGAGGCTAAGCTTACTTTCTCTTCATTCTAATTCTCTTCATTCTAATGCTAAAAAACTTTTACTCTACATATGTCCTGGCCAAAATAAGGAAAATGACAATATAAAGCAATACTAAAAAAAAGTAGACTGTTGAAACTTAAAAGATATTAATATGTTAAACATATTCAAAGTCTGAAATGAAAGTAAATGAAAGTAATTATTCAAAATCAGTAAAAAAAAGAAGGTAATGAGTAGCAATGGAAGAAGAGGAGAGGAGAGAAGAGGAAAAAAGGAAGGAGGCTGATATCTTAAGATATAAAATACCATTTATAAATATTGTCATGCAGAGTGGTCTAATATATACTTTTGTTTTGTGAAACTTATAGAAATTAAACAAACAGTATGATAATGATGTGATTCTTTAGAAAAATTCAAAAATTAATTTCTAGATCTCACTATTAGGCATTCTTGGTACCTAGATGGATCATGCTTTGACCTATCTCAGAAGTGGATTATATAATACAGTAGCAGATACGAACAAATAAAAACAGAACAAGAATGAAATAAACTTGCAAGAGACAGTACCATACAATTCTTGAAAATACATGCAACTCAAAAGTTGACCCTTTTACTAAGGGACCTATTCCAAGAATCATTGCACAAAGAAAAAAAACTTAACATTTTTATTTAGATAAAAGTATCTTTCTTCTTTAAAGAGCCTTGAATGGATATTAAACAAATAACAAAATGGTTATTGGTTTTAGTTTGAACAGTTATCTTTTTAGAAACTAGGAACATCATCTGCTAATAGAAATTAAATTATTTCATAATTAAATGCAATTTCATTAAGTCCTCTAGCAATCATACATTTTGGGGGAAAAAAATCCTCAGTTAATATCTTTAGGTCATTTTCATTAACCCTTTGCTAAAACACCAGTGACCACAAGGTTTTAACTTTAGAAAACAGTGAGATTGTATCACAGCATATAGACAGTGCACATGTGTTAGGTCAGTGGCGACTGAGTTACACATAGCAAGCTAAATGATAAGGTAAGAATAATAGGAAATATTACCTACCGCTGATTCACAAAAGGGGTAGAGATTTCTGCAAGCAGACGAAAATTAGCAAAATATCCCAATAATCCTCTGTCCTAGAAAAAGGAAGTAGAAAAACAAACCAGAGATCAGCAGTTCTAAGCCTTATGTAAGTTTTATCCACACAGAATATAAATGAGTCTACTACTGTTGAATAAAGGCTGCTGCTGTCAATGCCCTGATCCCCGAATTTCCATGTTGCTGTGCATTCTATAGATAGTTCTCAATTTACAACCAGAACCGAACCCAAAATTTCTGTTGCTGAGTGAAACAGTTGTTACGTGAGTTTTGCCCCATTTTACAACCTATATTGCCACGGTTGTTAAGCCAATCCCTGCAATTGTTAGGTTAGTAACAAGGCTGTTAAGTGAATCTGTCTCCCCCCACTGACTTTGCTTGTCAGGTCTCAAAAGATGATCATGTGACCCTGGGACACTGCAAACTGTCATAAATACGAGTCAGTTGCCAAATGTCTGAATTTGATAACATGGCCATGGAGATGCTGCAATAGTTGTTAAGTGTGAAAAATGGTCATAAGTCCCTTTTTTCAGAGCTGTTGTAACTTCAAACAGTCATTAAACAAACTGCTGTAGGTCAAGGATTACCTATATATATATAACTGCAATGGTTCAGTATGCTATCAACAATACTGATTTCTGGTTAGTCTGTGTATGGTCTATTGACTGCCAAATTTACATCTAGATTAAATTCTAGCTACTGCTGTTTAACTTTAAAGCTTCATTCCTTTAATTCCAATATACTTGAAAGAGGACAAGTACAAAAGACAAAGCTTATCAATTGAAGAGTTATTGATGAATCAATAACAGGATGTATTGATTATGAGACACTGTAACTGTAACTTCCTTAAGTGATGAATAGAATAGAATAGAATAGAATAGAATAGAATAGAATAGAATAGAATAGAATAGAATAAGAGGGGAGGGGAGGGGAGGGGAGGGGAGAGGAGAGGAGAGGAGAGGAGAGGAGAGGAGAGGAGAGGAGAGGAGAGAAGAGAAGAGAAGAGAAGAGAAGAGAAGAGAAGAGAAGAGAAGAGAAGAGAAGAATTCTTTATTGGCCAAGTGTGATTAGACACACAAGGAATTTGTCTCCAGTGCATAAGTTCTCAGTGTACATACAAACAACAAAGTCATAAGTCACTTTTTGTCACTTCCCATAAGCAAAATAACTTAAGACAGTTACATATTTGAGAACTAAGTTCAGCCCTGAAATGACAGATGTTGGTCACCTTCTTACAATTCAAGTTTATTCCTTTCCTGTATTTTCCTGTATTATTTTATTCCTTCCCTTTTCTGTATATCATAAGTCTCATAGAGCAGTTACTTTCTTCTTGAGAAGAGCCATGAATCTTAATGGTAAGCCTATTAAAATCTATTTTTACTAAAATACATGTACACTTGTTATGTTATAAAATTAACATGGAACTTACCAGTACAAAGTAATATGCATATATAGCTAGTACATGGTGAGTTACAAAAAATATATCCCCAATTGCCTTCCAGTGAAAAATAATAAGCAACAAATCTGAAAAGGAATAAAGAACGTGAGTAAAATTCTATAATTATTATATTTTATTTTAAAACTTCTAATGCTGCAAGGCAGAGATGCAAAATTACTTCTCTTTTTCTGTTATCAGGATAAAAATTTCCAAGTGGCCCTTGCCAGAACATCATTAAAAATAGAACCCCAAGCTTTGGCTTATGATCCCTTACCATGTAACATTGATTGTTCCTTTTAATATAAATCTCAGATTTGCCTCATCGTAGGAAGTTATTATCAAATCGAGTCCTGAAGTTGCCTAATATTTCAAACAATCTCCTCCCACCTTATGTTTGGAAATATTTATTTAAGACATGCAGGAGGAGATGCATACTGTATTCATGTACATCCTGAAGTAGCCTTTTAAAACTGAGGACCAGTGGTGAAGAAGTTGAACTTTCAAAACAAAACAATATGTTCTCACACTGATTAATCAATTTCCATCTCAAGGAAAACTCAGGGGAAGGCCTGTAATTAGGAAACTAAGCTTTCCTCCTTGAACAGCCCTAATTTATTCCCCCTTATTTTTCTATGGTTATTAAATTATTGATACCAGATTAGTGCCATGGAAGCAGGAAGCAAAGTGGAAAGAAAGAAAGTAATTCTTGTTACTCAGGCTTGAGAATAAGAAATTGACAGAAGAAAATATTTTAATAATTAACACAATACTGTCATGTTATGAAATAAAATAATCACATTTTATAGCACAATTTTTGGTGTGAGGGAAAATATGGTCTGCTTCCTACAGACAGACTTTCGTAAAGAGGGCCATGTTTTGGTAAACTTCTGTTAAAAGATTCTTTCAAAACAGATGACTTATAATAAATTATATACGTAATATTTTACACATTACCTGAAATGAGGTAGCCTACAGTGATAGCAAGATTTAGTTGCACTGTAGAAGCATCGCCCCTATAAACAAAGACATCCAAGGAAACACATTAAATATAACATGCATTTTGCTTATATTTATTCCCCCCCCCCAATATGGTGATCACTTTTTTGGATGTTGGAAGAGAGACCCCACATCTGCTAAGATGATCCTACAAAACTCTGGTAAATGGCAAACAGGCAAGGGAAAAGTTTCTGAACAGACATAGTTAAAAAGATTAATGTATGAATGTGGATTATAAAATTTTTGCAAAAGTTTTGGCTAATAGACTGATGCAGATACTGCAACATTATATACATGATGATCAAACTGGTTTCATATCTGGGAGATACATGAGGAACAATATCAGGCAAATTGTAAATTTATTGGAATATTTGGATAAGAATAATCAAATACCTTCGGCCTTTATCTTTCTTGACGCGGAGAAGGCCTTCGACAAATTGGAATGGCAGTTTTTAAATAAAGTGTTGGATTATATGAACTTTGGAGATCAATTTAAAACAGCTATAAAGGCGATATATCAAAAACAGACTGCTCAGATAATTATAAATGGAGACTTGACAGAGCCTTGAAAGAGGCGGTGGTGAGGCCCCTCCTTAAGAAGCCTTCCCTGGACCCAGATGTATTGGCTAACTATCGTCCGGTCTCCAACCTTCGCTTTGTGGCGAAGGTTGTTGAGAGTGTGGTTGCGCAGCAGTTCCCCCGACACCTGGAGGAAACAGTCTATCTAGACCCGCTCCAGTCGGGCTTCAGACCGGGATAC